TAAAATTTCAATAAAAAAGTGCATAACAGTTCTTATCTAATATCTTTCACAAGTTGTGAATTAGAGGTTCGTTCTATTTCTGAAAAGGTAGCGATATATAAAAATTTTATCAACGATAATTTCGTGCAGCTTTGATTCGCGTCTACTTTAATAGGTTCAAAGTTCTACTAAGCCTAGCAATTGAAATCGAAAAACTATATATGGGCTAATTAAAACCAACAAAGATTTCAAAACCTAACTCAAAAGAGATGAGTACTTGATAACACTTGGCAAAAAAAATTTCAATCAATTGGATAGAAAAATATTTTTTTAACCGCCATTTATCATCGTCTTATATCTCAGAACACACACATATGACAACAGCTTCTTGGAAGATTTCTAAACGCTAACTTCGGAGCAAAGATCCTTAGCCTTTTGTTTAAATTTGGAATCATTACGACCAACCCAAGTCTTTCCAATAGTGCTGAAACAATTTTTTAAAAAAGATTTTATATGTTATTCTGCTAGAGTTTAATTTTTTTTATTTATCTATTAACATTTTACAGTGCATTCAAGCTACATTTTCAATTGAAATATGTGTGATGGAGAAAAATGTTTAACTATAACAAAAACTCCATTCACAACGTTTCCAGCATTCTCAGCGGCTTCATTACTATATCGTCTCGATTCTAGACAAAAATTATCTAAACACGTTAAACACATAGAATATGTATATGCGACAAATGTACGTCGTGGCACTTTAGTGGATCCGATAGTTTTGTACTTCAACAAAATTTCCAACGCTTTTTGTGCCCCTAAGCATTAACTTCATTTTTGAAAACTCTAGTGTTACGGCTACTCATGCGTTTAGTATTTTCAACATGAAAATGAAAACAACGACGACAACAACAACAATATTTCTAACAATAACAGTATCAATAACGTACAAAAAAAGCTAAAAATCAACAAAAAAAAAAAAAGCTAAAGGAAAGAAAAGTTGCAATATCTAATATCGAAAATAAGTGGTTCTAATGGAACCACAAAATTCGGATTGTTGATAAAATAAGTGCAGAGCATAACATAGATACTTTTCATGTCTCATGTTTTTGGCAAGCAATGTTGTTTTGTTGGCTGTTGTTGTTGTTGTTGTTGTTGTGAATTTGGTTTGGTAATCAATATGTGTACTCCTACATGTGTGTATGTAGAATTTTATTTTTATATTTACCACATGTTTTGTATATTTATTCCAAAAATCACTTAATTTTAAAACATAAATGTAAGCACTACGATTTTTGCACAAAATACTGTTCAAAACTGCTATGTTGTGTACAGTATGATTAAAAGTTTAAATAGGGCGGCAAAGTTTATTGCCGACCCATTAAGCATATATCATATAATGTATGTAAGGTATGTACAATATATAAATATATCAATATGTGAGGAATATCATGACGGAAATTAACAAAGTTGTTATCATATATATTAAATTGTTCAATGCATGGCATTAAATATGTTCTAAATTGCACTGCGAACAAAATACAAAAAAAAAAAAGCAAAAAACACGATTTCAAAGTATTACATCTTATAGACTTATCATATATATTATATATACACATGCGTATATAAATAAATGCATAATTAACTACTTAAAAGAAAAGCTTTGCTGTTTATGAAAACAACATAATATATATTTTAAAAAAGAATATATATGTCCTAAAGAAATATACATACTATAAAGAAATATATGTTTAAATTATAAAGAAATACATACATTATAAAGAAATAAAAAAAAAATACATTATAAAGAAATAAAAAAAAAATACATTATAAAGAAATAAAAAAAAAATACATTATAGAGAAATAAAAAAAAAATAAATTATAAAGAAATAAAAAAAAAATACATTATAAAGATATATTTTAAAGAAATATATATATTATAAAAGAATATAAGTTGTTATTTAATGTCAAATTTTTCACACGGAAGTGACTATTATATTTTTAATAGAAACTTTAATAGAAACAAAAATTCAATTGATTAAAATAATATAAAATGAATGTTTGTTGTTGTAGTTCACTATTGTTCGAAAAAACCTCTTCATAAAAGAATATATATATATATTTTAAAGCAATATATATATTATAAAAAAAATTTAAAAGGATAGCCTGATATGCATATCATAATTAATGACACCTAAAAAATAAAATAAAAAAAACAAATTTTTTCAAAAGAAAATCAAACGTACACAAAAGGGATGAGGTCCTTAACCTATATCACACATAGTTCCTCCCCCTACAAAAGCATCTCAGTTCCAAATAAAGTATTTCACTGAACATTGTTAATTTACGGCGTTTTCGATTGGTAAATTTGGACCCAATCTAGTATTACTCTCGACCTGTCAAATATGTGTTGCTCAATCTAATGTTTTTAGAGTAATCTAATTACAGTTGCGTTAATAGGCAATTATATTTTTCATTAATAGATATCAATCATACTTTATTTATTAAGTCATATAAAGTAGCGATTCATTTCAAGATAATTTTGCTGCTCAGGCAAAATATCTAAAGTGTTATAAAATTAATCTCAAATGTTACACATTTCACTCGAGATTATCGCTGATTTACCAATCAAAATTTACCAATCTAGCAAAATAATTTACCAATCTAGCAAAACAATCCATTTATTCAAGAACGTAAATAGTTTCTATATTATATAAATGGAATATTAAAGTAACATTATTGTTACGATATATGACACATGATATATCCATTAATCCAGAAATTGGAGAAAACATATAAATGCAGTTACCTCATCAAAAGAACGAAAACGTGATATGCAGTCTTGCCATATCACTTTGTCGTCATTTAGATCAAATGTCAATAAAATGAAATAAAAATAGAAATATTAAAAATTAGTTTTAGAACCATTTACGAGAGTGTACTACACTTTCAAATTAAGACAGTTGTACAGTAACATAAAGTAATCAAAAAAAAAAATATATAAAATTAAATAATTTTTTTGGACTGAGACAAATAGATATAGTTGATCAATTTATAAATGCTCTTCACTAACAACGACAAGCACAACTATACCAGACGTAAGGTGATATTCAACATCATTTGAATTTTCTAAAACTTATTTTTCTTGTCAAATTATTTTTAAAGATCACAAATTATAATTTAAGCCAACCCAATAATAAATCAATTAAAATATTAATTTTAATATATAAATATATTTAATTATATAAAATCTTACATTCCAATAAATAAATACATTTGAGATACATTTTAGAGTTGAGACAAAAACACGATGAATATTATTAGTTATTTAAAAATTTTTATAAATTTTTTTGGGAATTGAAATATATATATAACTGATGATTGTTTAAATCTGTACAAACATTAAATCGTATATCATCAAAATAAGAATTTAACAACATCCAAAAATAAATTTTAATATTTACATTATAACAACTTAATTATACATAACATATGTATATTTAGTAGCGATCATATTACATATAACACCTTGCAAATATGCAGACATATTAACATTCTTTTCGAACACTTTAAAGTGAGAGCTATAAAAATATATAGCTTATTCTCTCTTACTATAGAACATATGGAACTGAACAAAATGCGCACAATTATGAAAAATAGAAAATAGGGAATTCACAACTGTGTAGAGAAATATTGTATATAATAACAAATATTTTATTTTTAACAAAATAATTCCAATAATTATATACTAGATTATTCGGAAGCACGCAGAATAAATATTTCCTAATATAGCTCTTAGAAAGAGAGAGATACACATAATCTGCCTTTTCACCCCACAATTGATGTTGTGCTTGTAGTACAAAAAGCACCAAAGTATGAATTACATTTTAGTGAAAAAAAAATATATTTCAAAACACATTTAATTACTTAATGAATTGGAAACTAATCCAGTCCTCCTTTGAATTTAAACCCGAAAAACTTAACAAAAGTCCAACAAAATACCTTAAATAAGATTTCAACCGCCTATATTCCTGGTTTCAAAACTAAAACAAATTCCGCAATAAACTGCCGTATCTGAAGCGGGTATTACACGTCATATCTGCTGTGATGTCACTTACCTTTACACATCTTGCACTGCCGACCTTATTTTGGACACTACTCAGCAAAAACAACAAATACACTACAAAATACAAAACGATATTTTTGCTTTCAGCCCTGAAAATGAAACTTTACACGTCAGCCGACAAAAACCCGATTGTATACGAAAAAACACGAGCAGGTCGGATGGAATGCCACAATATTTTAATTTCCATCCAACTTGCTGTCAGACCTGTAAATATTGCTATTAAAAAAGTGCATCGCACACACCAAAACGAACGCTTGCGAACGAACGAACTTTTGCAGGTACGTTTACCTGCGAATGTTCGTTCGTTCGCAATCGTACGCTTTCGTATGAATGCGCCTTTACACAAAATTTTTCACAAATTTTGCACTCAACGCACCAGGTTGTGGCGCCAACTATGATGTCTAATACCCGCAGGAGCTATATATGTAGCTATGCAGAGCTACAGAAAGTAATGTTGTAGAGTTTACCGTTTATTCGACTAAACTTGCGCAATTCCATTGAATTGTTGTAGGTTTTTACGTGCCAACGGGCGCATTAGTTATGCTCATCATGTGAGAACGACCAATGAACAAAATGACAATTTTAATTGGAAAATAAAATTTTCTGCATATTTTTAAGTTTTTGTTAATTAAATCTGTAATATATTTCATACTTTAGATAATTTATCTATAAAAACGGCTTAACACAACAGACAGCAAGTTTTTCGATTCCAGGAATCATAAACAACTCCAAGAATCATAGAAAATTCCAAAAATCGTAGGGTATATATAAAACTCCCGTAAGACGCGGTAAATTTTTATATTTAATATATTTATTTATATGTAAAATAAAGAATAATTGTATAGGTTTACTATTATTTAAGGATATGCCAATAATTGGTCTTAAAATATGTACTTACTAGGCATCCTGTTTTTGATAATAAAATGATTTAGAAAGTTGTCAACGGGTTGCGCACGCAGCTTGATTAAACAAATTACTTCACTATAGATTTAACAATTATTAAAGCGAATTAAATATTAGATTTAACAAATCGAGTCAGCGCACCACTTCAATCTTTTAGCAATAGCTAACCAACGCACCCGACTTCAACGAGATGTGATCGGCAGCACAGTTCAACAGTTTCTGATTAAAGTTTGGCTGCTGCTCTATAAAACCGAATAATAGTTAAAATTGAGAAATAGGGATGCCACCCAACTTTATTCTCCGTACTGTATCAGTAAAATTTGATTGTGCAATTTTAAATTAAAACACAAAATGTTCCAAACATGTGATGTCGACGCACCACAACATCAATTATGACGATGGTTTCATATACTTGGACATTTGAGCATAATATTTCTGTTATTGTTTAGCATGTCAAGCCGTCGTAGTTCTGTCAGCTGTGTAATTATTATATATTTGTATATATATTATATGTTAATCTGTTAATTGTTACAACAAAATTAAATAAAATATAAGGAAAGGTTAATGTGACGCAGCGGTTTAAATTTTTTGCACCTCATATAACAATCATATATAATTACATATATACTTCATCGATGCCAAAATCGACATGCAATTCAAAAGTGCAAGCGAAAAGATAAGACCACGCGACCTGAAGATACTGCACTCGGAATGTCACCTACCAGAAATAGAATGAAACTCAAGAAAAGTAATTAATCACTCAATTGACAACGAAAACTAAATATCTTTTAAGCATTGGCAAAATAGGGAGCTACAGTCATGTTCTGACAGTCCATACACATTCAGAATAATGGCAATTAGACAAAAAAAAATTTCAATTTAACAAATAATCTTACAAATGACCTTACGACACATTGTAATAAAAGTTCTTGACAATATTTATGACAATTTGTTAGATTTGTTGTTAGTTAGTTAACAACAGCTGATAAAGTCTAGTAATAACATATATTTCACACCAAAAAATTACAGTAATTCTACCTATAGAAAAGCTTTCTAAAATGCCCAAAATTTTTTTAACAATTTTTTTTTATGGAATTTATATCAATTTTTTAATAATGTGGATGTTAGTATTAGGATTAAATTAAAGAATAAAAAAATGATTGGAATTTTCGGAATCAGAATATATGGAAACTAAGTAAGCAAAAATAATTAAAAGCCCAAATAATATTAATATAAAAAAGTTATATTTTTTGTTTGCAAATATATGAATGAAATATTTGGCTATTTGCCATAAAATATTATAGTATATAACTTAATACTATAAACTATTAAATGTATGTAAATTATCACACTAAAATATTATGTTTATACTTCATAATAGGTCTGTTCCACGAGTTGCTCTTAGTACAAATTTTCGAGTAATTGAGAGCATCTAAGAGAGCGTAACATCCCTGCCGAAATTTGAAAATGCTACACAGACATTACTCTTACATTTTATTTCAAGTAAAATTTGTGTGATATGTGAATCAGCTATTTTGAATTTAAATTGTTGTACTGTTTATTTACACGGCGCAGATGTTCTCACCAGATTTTATACAAAACTGTTCCAACAGCACAGATCTGTATAAAGAGCGTAATTTGGCACTTTATTTGTGTAACGCTCTCAGTTTGTATTTTACTAGTGTTTTACTTGAATTTTACCACGATTAGGTCATGGAACAGACCTAATTATTGAGCGCGTATCAGCAATTTCTTTAAAATTATAATTATATGTTTACACTAGGGTAGATGCCAACATGTAGCTTTTGCTTTAACTCTTTAAGTATTGCTGTCGTTACATTGTTGCTGTTATTGTGCTCTTTGTTATAAAACGTGTTTGTATTATGCTTACCGAAAAGTTCTTATTATGGATAAACAAGCTGTGATAGCTCAGTAAAATTCTTAGGCACTTAAACATATAATAATTAAAGAAGAAATTTTAATTCAATAATATATCTTTTGCCGTTAATTACACAGTCTAAACATGGTATATGCAACTCGTTTATAAGTATTTTGTGGACATCACTGTAATATGGCAATAAATGTAATGAGCAGCCAAACAAAGAAACAGGTGGTAACAATGTCGAATATCACAAAAAAAATAGTTATTAATGATATGTAAACTAATTAATATTAATAATAAATAATATTTATAGTGTATAGAAAATTTAATTTGTATCCAAAAAACTTATATTTTCATTTTGGTTTTTATTACATTTCATTTTTTTTATAATATCTAAACATTATTTTTTTTTGCTGTTTTCTTTAGTAATGTCATTCTCATTAGCAAATCATTTAGCAATACTTTTAGGTAGGGATGCCACACTGGAATATTTAAAGGAGGTGTTTGTTAATATTACGAAGCTATTATGCAAAAACACATAATAAATAACTAAACATTTATGAATTAAATTGTGAAAATGCGTTAGTTCTAATAATGTAAATACACTGTGAATAGTATTTACTAAATTCAGCACAATCTTGCATTTTACAGATATATGTATATAGATATATTATAGTTATATATGTATGTATTCCGATCATCTTTTTCTATTGTGCTATAAGTCTATATAGTTTGAGATATTCATATTTAAATTTGTAAATTTATGCATCGGATAACTCGGTAAGTGCATATTTAGTAACATCATAAGGTGAAAAACTTTAGTGAAGTCGTTAAACTGACTTTTGGTATCAGCTGATTTTAGTCTTGCTAAAATAAAACTTATTCTCTTTTTTTGTTGTATATTTCCATATCATTTAATATTCCAACATATTGACTTTTATGTTTAATTTAAATTTTTTGCAATACTACACAATAATATAAATCAGCTGATGTTTTACTGAATATCGAATATATGATAATAGTTGATACTTTCATTTTTCAGATAATATATGTAATTTCATAAAAAAAATATGTATATGCATAAAATTTTACCATTTTACCGAATTACAATGGTACTGAACAATAAGAAGTTGGGACAGTTTTCAACATATCACATTTTAAATATATGACATTTTAATATTGATTGCACAAACGAATTTTCTTAATTTATCGTAGAATTACGGTTTCTAAAAAATTATAATCAAATGGTATGTATCCAAGGGTGAGGAAGGAGGAGATGAAACATTCTAGGAATAAATCAAATGACTGAGTATATATCTTTGAATGTATATTTATTATTATTGCAATATGATTGTTTAATAAGATTAACAATTTTTTTTATAATCTCTAAAGTGATTAGAAAGTTGAATAGAATGAGTTTCTGTTTATGGGTCTGGTAATCATGTCAAAAAATTTATTGTGTTTATTATATTATATATAGAAAGTACAAATATTAAGTTTGTGTTGTGGTGCACCTCAATGTGCAAAAGGTTCAATATTTCGGTAATTATTTGCCAAATGTTGGTTATCATTTAACTCACTCTTTGTGTCTCTTTCGCTAAAATGGGTTTTTTTTGTTTCTATTTATGCGATTTGAAGGAGTACTGAATTATTTTACTGTTGTTTTTCAGATACAGAATTGTGTCAGCTAAACGTCTCTGCAATATTTAATATTTAAATAAATGCTGTCGAAAAATATATATGTGAGAAAAAATATTTTATGTAAAACTGCAGACGTGGTATATAGGAGTTACTGCGGATGACCGGGCGACTTTTTCTTGTGTTTATTGCAGTGGCGCCAGAAACGTCGTCGTATGTTTATTTTACAATAAATTTCTATCTTCAGTTTTTTTTTTGTTGCTTGTTGAAATGTAGTTGAGTTTATAATTTGTTTATATAAAATTTTTATATATTTGATATATTATATGCATCATGTATTGGGCGATATGTGGAGAAATAGTAAATCAACAAGAAGAACAGTAAATAAAGGAATCCAAAGAAAGGAGAATAAGCAGCTTTATGGTTTAATCATAAAAATTTGATAAATAATATAATAATTACTTATTTTATTTTTATAAGTAATTAAAGTTTTAATTATAAAAAAAAATATCTGTGAAAAAAAATTCCATTCGACAGGACTGTTGTCACAATGCTGATAGTACCATACTATCTATATGTATGTAAGTATGTATACAATATAGTATCAGTGTAAGGTGGCTGGTTGCAACGACATTGAATTTTTTAACGTTACATGCTTCACTCTTAAATATGTCCACTTAAATATGTACATATAATATAAAAGAGTATAATTATATTTTATTTAATTCAAGTAATATACATATGTACATACATATGTATTTGGTGTTACTTTCGCACAAACTGATTTCTTGAGTAATTTCTATTAACTGAGCTTGATTTTAGAAAGGTTTCTCTATATTGTGCTATTAACTCTAAAGGAATACTTTCATGATCGAACATCGTTATACAGAGTTTTCTATTAGTGAAAAATGCATATACATATGTATGTATGTATGTTTGCATGTTTGCATGCAAATAAAATACTACAATTTGATTATATTCGACCGTGAAAGGATCGGTTACAAAAAAATCAATATCCAAATCAATGCAGTAAAATTACATTAATAAATATTTAAAGCATTTTAGAAGAGAAAGTATAGATCCTTACTAGACTCAAGTAAGTAACAACCCCTAGAAAATTTGTGTTCATTTGTGTGTTGCACTTTCTGCTCTCCCTTTAATTTTTGTTCAGGAAGTCTCCAAATAAATTTCACTGCGAATAATAATCGCAAACCCGGATATTTGAAGATTTTAGATTTACAAAAAATTCAATTTTATTTTCAATTCAGCAGATTCTATTGTTTTACTATTCGATTAATTGGATTCTCCGAATACTTCGCAAAATCGAATACGAACAGCACTAAGTTATAATATTAGGTCATATTTAACAAATAAACACTACTAAAAATTTTTGTTGTTTTTAAGTTAAAATCTATTATTGTTACTAAGTTGAGTTGGTTTGGGATCTGGATCTTTTGCACCAAAGCCTACTTAAAGCTTAAATATTGGTCCGTTGCGATGAATGGCTTATTATCACGATATATGCTAGTTAAAAACATATGTCGTTGCAAGTGACTAGAACGAAGAAGTCTTTTGAATACAGTAATAGATGAATCAATTATAGTATCTTTATTGTTCTCCAGATATACAATATAACATTATAACTAATTACAGTTTATACTTATTATAGCTAAATAAATTTTTGTCGCACTAACTTTTTAAATAGTTTTTTAAATTTTATCTACATATGTGTATATATACCTAGGGTAAGAATATTGTTCATTACAAGTATTAATAAGAGTACTGTGATGCTTTGTTTATTTCTTATTTGTTTGTTTCTTTTCCACCGCTTAAGACTATTAACTAAGTATAATGAACTCAGTCAACATGAATGGATTTTATTTTGGAATTAGTTGCAACAATTGTGATATCATGAACCACTGAGATTATATCATAAAGTATCTTTATCTTGATTGCTTTAGTAGTGAATAGAACTCCGTCAATTTTATGCAACAACTTCTGAGTTAGAGTCATGTTTTGTGGATGATTTAATCATCATCGAATACCATATTTGCTGTTGATTTTAATATTGTCTGTTTTTTAAATTACATTGAAAGCAACAACAAATCTAGTGATCGACTATGACATTTATAAAATTTCAAGCAATAGCTGTGTATATGATTATATTATTAGGTTTTCGTATACTATATTTAAGTTGCATTATATATATATTTCAATAAGTTCTAATATGAGGTAACAATTTTTTTAACAAACTTTTAAACTGAATTAATGTCTTGCTTAATAATGTGATTTAAATATTTATTCATTTCAAACAGGTCAACACAATATAAATATTATATTAAGAAAAAAATTATAAGAGTTAGTCAGTTAATTTTTATCGTCACGATTTAAACACAATATATAAAATAAGATCGCATAATGTACATATGTTATAAAAAAAGAACTCACAAGCGGTCGGGATTGTGTACCAGAGCTAGTCAACATCGAAAATGAAACGCGGTTCGTCATTACGCGGTTCGCCATTCAGAGTATTACTGTGTGCAAGGCAATTTGAGTTAAAGGACTCAACAATAAAAATAATTATAATTAACGCAATAGAAATACTGAAGCGTATTGGATATTATATTTTGGATCCACTCCACATCGAGAAATCATTTTCTATTAATAATTGTATCGAAGATTCACGGCTTGTCGTCAAGATTCTCCAGAATGAAAGGTTTCAAAACAAACAAACAAAAAACAACAAAAACTACAGGGTTCCTTAATCTTATTGGGCTATATTTTGGGTTTACTTAACATCGACCAAACACTAATCCGTAATACTTCCATTACATTTTCAACATTTGTTTCTAGGGTGCAAAAAATTGGTTTCATAAAAAGTGTTGAAAATTGGTTATAACAAAAATAACCACAAATTAAATAAAATATCTACATATATCTATAGTATAAATACATATATGACTAATATTGTTGTGAACATTAACCAGCATATTTTGATTTGATTTAAAATTCACAATGAATCTCACACAATAGTGATTTTATCAGAGACGAGTGGCTGCAGAATATAGTCCCGCCCATTTGGTTTATATAAGTTTATACTAGTACCAGTATATATACGTATGTGCTAATATTTAATATTTTTTAGCTCTGATATGATTTTAAATCTGTGTGGACATTATATTGATTTTTTTGTGATTCTGCATCAAATAACCTGCATGGACTCTTATGAAAGGAAGTAAAACATTTGTAAAGAAGGGTTTTAGAAGATTGATTTACTTCTAATAATTGCTTAAGAATGTGGGATGTTTCTTCGCAACAAGTTTCTTTAATACTTTTTATATATGTCTATTTACAGGTAATTTAATTAAAATCCAAATTGTTATATATAATTTTAGTTTTTATTTTTGATTGCATTCAGAGATTTACTTTTGCTCTACAATTTGTAATATGATTGGATGATTAATTCTATGGAAACATGCTTTTGAATTCAACTATATATACACATAATACTTTTCGTAAGTAAGTCCAGTACCTTTAATGATAAAGTGTCTAGTTTTTTTTGTTTTATTTTAATTTAATTAAATTACATAGAATGTATCTACCATATATTGAAAGACGTCGCTATACAATAAACTTCTGATATGAAAATTCTGTTAAATATTTTCAACTCACTGGCTCATATGGCAACTATAACATATGGTCATACATAGCAACTTCTCGGAATTTAATATAGATTTGTACTTGATCGTAACATATGTTCTTGATTGATTAGTTCGCAGAATTGGAAATTTGAACTTTATTGCGGAATTGTTTATGTCAGCGTGGAGAGAAAAGTTATCTTCAATATATATATATAGAATTTTCCTTCTCATTATTGCAATATTGCACATTAATTATTTTTTTATAGCTTTGTCATTGCCTCGGTATTTGTTGTTAATATAATAAAATTGTTGTTATTGGTTTTTTGATTTATGTCATAAAATATAATAATAATATTTTGCATCTAAATATCATATTTCATTTCTAGTTACGCACTTCTATTCCTGAATATAGAACTCTGTTGTTGTTGGATTTCTTCACCTTAGAAAGAAACGCTAAGACAGCAATGGTGGTATTACGGATTAGTCTTTTGTCGATGTTGAGTAAACTCAAAATATAGCCCAACAAGATTAAGGAACCCTGTAGTTTTTGTTGTTTTTTTTTTTTTGTTTTGAAACCTTTAATTCTGAGGAATCTTAAAGACAAGCCATGGATCTTCGATACAATTATTAATAAGAAAGTGGAGAAAACATGATAAAATCTTGAAAAACACAAAAAAAAAAATTAATAAAAGTTAAGAATAACTCAGTGAACGAAAATAAACAGTACAGTATCGTAGTGTATTGCTCATGTCTGAAACAGACATGATTACTAAACGGAACGATAAGTTCTATTGAACACCTTTCTTGAATGGTCGAAGTGGGCAGGCGATGAGTGTTGCTTTGAACAAGTTTTGATTGTATATGTGGAGGCATCTGCATTTGGAAATTTTTACTGATCCAAGAAAAGCAAATTTTCACATATTTTTCTGGAATATGGCAATGATTCAATGTATTGATCGTTAGATCAAAGACAAATTCTATGGTAATTATTTTGTTATTAAAATTGTCAGACAAAAAAAAAATATATATGCGAATGTTATATATGTATAATAAAAAATACTTATATTCCTCCATGTTGAGCTGTTCATCACAATGCGGAAATGTGTTTGTGCATATACACCAAATGTCGGCAGTAACAACAACAACAACAACAACAACAACAACACTAACAACAAGGATGACAATAAAGTCAAGTTAATAAAATAAGCCCATGCAGTGCATAAAACAATTTGCAACGGAAATTGCAATAATTAACTTTGGTACCTGCCTGACGCAGTTGAAGTTGCTGGGTTGAAGGATATTTTTTATTACAAATTTGTGTTCTTGTTTTATTTTATGTTTTATGTTTTATGTTTTATGTTTATGTCGACTGCAGACTCAGACTTGGTGAAATTTTTTTTACAATTTCCGGATGTACATGTGAGTACCACGTACTTGTGGCCACGTAGCTACGGTTTGCGTGTCAGGAGCGTTTGTGCGAGTTTGGGTATGCGTAACGGAAACAGGAAGTGGCATCGGTAATGCAAGTAAGTTTTCCTAATTCAATTAAAATTTACACAAAATATGCAAGTAGGCAAAATTTTCAAAACGTATGCAATTTGTGAGTGAATGGCATGTTCTGGCTTGGTTGGCATGAAAATGCAAGGCTGTGTTTGTTAAATTTCCAAAAAAAAAAATGGAAAAAGTGGAAAAAAAACGAAAAGTGAAATTAAAATGTATATGTCAAAAATTGTCTAATATCCAACATTTATTTTCATTGCACAGCCAATTTATATCTACGTTGTCAAATAACATGTACATGTTTTCAGAATTCAGCTGAGGCTTAATTATGCGGCGGATTCAAATATGGAGTAAATCACTTTTGCTTCGCTCCATGGAAACTTATTAGTTTAGCATGTGCATGAGTTGAGCAATTTCCTGCTGCATGTGTCTATAATATTCTGGATTCAAAGTGATATGAATGACGCGGAATCTCGTTACACAACAACAACATCTGAAACTTTTAGATGAGGTCCACTATCGGTATGCGGAAAATGGTGAGTTCTCATTTGAAATATAATTTATTTAGAGTAAAACAATTATTTATGCACAAAATACAATCTTTTAACTTTATTGAAGTTTAAAGTATAAAAAAGTTTAAAAATATTTAAAATTATAAAAATATTATATTCTTGTAAAAATGGTATATATTCGATGGGAGTTGTGATCAGCACTTGATCTTCAATGACTAGTAGTAGCTTCAGAATATGGACTCGACCATTTCTGGTAACAATAATATGTTAAACATGAGTTCACACCTACCAAGAACTAGGCACAGTATCTCACAGCTAATTTGATGACAAACCTGCTTTAAAGTGTAAGATATTATGTCTTTATAAATATTACTGAAATTAATGCATTTCAAATATAGATTTCTGAATAAATAGTTAAGCCTTGGACACTTTTCTTCAATAAATATAGTAAATTATTACCCGTCATATCTTATTTTAATAGATTTGTAAAGCTTTAGTATATGTATGTTACGCCTAAAGACAGAGCCACTTTGTTTAAAGCCACGTCTAGGCAACATTTTACTCATAAGTGAATGCATTGCATGATTCAGCATTTTAGACAGATTTTACGAAATTATTGAAGGTATAACTGATAAAAAATCAACTATCCGGAGTTATATATTTTTAACGAACTAGTAACCAGTAGATATATTTTAAAAATTTAGTTAAGCAGTAATATCGTTTAATCCAGTAAAGGGTATACAGACTAGTTTCATGTAGAATTCCAATAGTTTTTTATGTAAATAAATCAACTAAAACTTTTAATACTGGTAAAAATACAAGAAAACGGTATTACCGATATTACTGTTATTACTGTAGTTTTCTTCTTGTTTACGGATGGTACTATCTAACATGGCGTTGATTCGATTAAGATAAATATTTTCTACTGAATTTCTCTTTTATCCTTATCTCCCAGTGGAGCATAGGGCCTATGAGAAATTCTACTGAATAAACACTTAAAAATGCTTATAAATAGATAGAAATAAACAGGGTATCAACTCCCAACGAAACGGAGCACCGCAACCATAGTTGATTTTTTGCTCCCCAACATAGCCTAACCCAACAGAAGTATGAATGAAATCGAAAATGTCATTAGGACCTACTAATGTCAGAAGGGGAGAGTAGTTCTTGACCCAGTGACCCCCTCTTGGCCCAGATTAAAGCTGGACAGTCACAGAGCGTGTCATTGAAATTCTCGTCTGCTTCTAGGCAGAGTCGACAATCTATCTCTTCGGACAGACCCATTTTGTTAAAGTCCAACTTATAGATAATAGTGCTTATAGATAATAAAGTCAAATAAATATTATTTATTCGAAGAGAAACTGTAGTATATAATCACGTTAACAATCTTGAAGGTATTTAAATAGTAAACGGTTGCGAAGCTTTAGTTTGCTTAAGTCTTGCATTTAATTCATATTAGAAAAGGTTTATCAAATAATTAAACCGTATATTACTGCTTGTTTAAAGTCTTTTTTAAATTTTTATATTTAAATTAAACAACTTTTTTTAAAATTTACATTACATACAATATAAAATAAATTTTTGTTCCAATAATAAAATTAATTTTATTAATATAAATACGTACATATATGAGTACATATACATGTATGAGTGTTGAAATAATTTGATAAAAAATATTTCTGCACTTAACTTAATTGATTAATTAATTAATCAGATTTTGTTAAATTGTTTATGTTTAAAATATTTGCAGTAATAAAGTGTTTATTAATTAAGTGACTCAGGAATTATTCTTGTAAATACAATCATTTAACATATCATCATCCATAAGCACTTAAGGCAGTAATTGATTATCATAAATTAAGCTCCGAAATTGATAACTTGAAGATATTCAGCAAATTCAGTTTATTAATAAATAATTTTAAAATAATGTTTTAGGTTCAGTAATCAGTTTTGAAATTAATTTGCAAGTCTTATAAATGTTACAATTAAGGACTGTATAAATATGAGAAAGGGCTTAACTTAAATCACATTTTGTACTAAAATTTTGAGTATTTCATTGAATTACTATACTCTTATTAGTTAAAAGCTATAAATTAATAGAATTTGTGCACTTAAACCAATCAGGAATATCGACTTACTTAAATATATATGCACATTCCACAATATATAATGTTAAACAAATATTAACAAATACTTTTAAAACTTTAAATATTAAAATTAACACTAACACTATGTTCACACTTAACAATTACCGAATGTGATTAGCACGTTTCTGTATGGATTTTGTATGAAAAAAGACATTTCAGCACATTTTCGACTAAATTGATTGGTGAGCAAGTACTTTAAGTATTGTGAAATACATAAGTGCTTTAAAATGTCATTGAGTAGAAAATAATTGATAAACAGTCGAAGAAATATTTTTTACTTGAAAAATATTACTAAATGTTGTAGTCATGAATTACAATAATAAAGCTTGTACTCGTATTTTTTAATTAATTTAATTTTTTGTTGACCTTAACAGTCACCAACATGAAAGAGACCCTCCTCGAAGTAATGCCGAAGCGATTCCGAGAGGGAATAAGTCTCGCCAAAGAAAGGGTGTTTCAGTCCAAACATTACATATTAATGTTAGGGAATCGTGCATACCATTCGACGGTTATTCTGACGGTGCGTAAAGCATACCAACTTCTCACCACACAAAAAACAAAAAAAAAAGTAAAAACGCCCACTCCCCTCACAATATCCCTCCACATACAACTTAGTCTATGTTTTTTGGTTTAGCTAAATTTAGTTTGCTGAATATTAAGCCTATCTACTCTTCTGGAATGGGGTTGCGTCTGCTGAACGTGGCTGTAATTTTCCATAATCATTCGTAAGAGATGGTTTTAGTGGGTTCAAGACTCACACTGTGGCTTTTGAAGCTTTTATCACCTTCTGAAAAACATATCATTTTTGGATATGTTCAAATACATATCATTATTGATCTCTGAAAATATTTTTTCGATTTAATAGTGAGTATTTTTTAGGCTGCAAGGTACTGTTGATAAATATTTGTCAATACCTGAAATAGCTATACTGTCATCCAAATATTCAATTACTTTAGAAAATAAGTGATTTTATTTATTTTTTCAAATCCTGATAAAAAAGTCTATTGATTAAGATTTTATAGTTTACAGATTTACACAATGGCAACAAGGATATATGGTATTTCAAAGTCAATTATTTGGAACTTGAACGTCAACAATTACAATCCTTGTATTCACCTGTAATTAGGACTACTGACAGCGGAGCATCCTTGCGATTGTGTAACTCTCTGTGTGGGTGTATAGAAGGGTGCACATTACGGGTTCTATATAATTTAGTAATTATTCATAATGTACACATGTCATACTCGAGCATTATGCTTTCTGCATTGCAACTGTCATTGGAGTCGCAACTACGAGAAATTCAATTTCTTGCATTCGTTTTGTTTTTTGCAACGGCTGATGTCGCTGTTGCTAGGTCTTTTCTACCATAAAAAAATGATTTCTTGGAAATCACACTCTCTACTGTATAAATTATTTAAAATTTTATTTTTTTATTTAATGTTTTTATTTTCACTGCACAGATTCATATTATGTACTAGTAGATTATATATTTACGTGAATCTTAGATGTGCACTTCAGAAATTTTCATACTTCCAACGGAAGTCAGTGTGCAACACTACGTTTAATAGTAGCATGTCGCCAATCTGAGTTGCTGTTTCATTATAAAAACTGACTGGATTTGGTGGTGGTAATAGGAGTACGACCAGTAGCAGGTGCTGCAGCAGTAAGCGCAGGAGAAAACTCTTACGTACAAGCAGTTGAAGTGTAATATTTTTTTTTTTTTTAAAAAAAGTACAAAATTTCAATGTGGTAAATTATAATTACACATACAAAAAACACTTATGATTTTTCTCGGTATGGACATAAAGGAAGCATACGTGAAAATATGGAGAAAAACAGGAACTGCATCTTGAACGTTAAGAAGTATTTACAGTTACGTGACATTTTTTTATTTTGCAAGCTCCTAAGTGCGACAGGATTGTGACATGACATGCGACATAGCTGCCAGAGTTGAAAAAAAACACTTTTTTTATATATCGTATATAATTAAATTTAAGAAAATTTGTGGCGCCATAATTAAAAAAAATTATAAAATATTTTAGCTGATGTCTTTAATAATTGTAAGGAAGTGACTTATAATGCGTTGATAATTTCAGATAAAATATATAAACAAACGCAATTGTGTATAAAACTCAATAAAGTCCCTTTAACTGCTGTTTAAGTGTTGAGCCTCTACAAAGTACTTCCATTTAATTATATTTCTTACTAATAATTTGATATCATTCCAAGGTTTTCCATATTCCATTATTTATTTTTTTCTATAATCTTTGCCTTCACGTTGTTTTTGATCACCTACGTTTTCTGACTCCACTTAGACTTCGTCTTCGTGTTGTTTTTATTGGATCGCGTTTTTTTGCTTCTTTTGAGTTTTCAGACCAGTACTTGTCGTCTGCATATTTGCGCAGAATGTATCTAGTCTAACTCCATTTTTAGTTCCTAATTTCTTTTGATATTGCCTGTATTTCACTTGTTGGAGTATAAGTCGAAGATTGAAATTAAGTTCAACGATAAGCAAATAGTTATTTATAAAGATTTTCATTTAAATATTTAATATTTTTATAAACGTTATAGAGAACTGTAGAACTTAAAACAGGAGGGAGGGGACTTTAGTAATATATAACTCTTAAAATATATCAAACGACTACGTATGTGTATTCTATATGTCTGTCTGCGTGTAATGTCAGCGCAATATGATGACAGAATGGTAAATGAAACTATAGCCGATTCAGCATTTCATCTCAAATCCTCATCAAAGTAAGTTTCTGTCTACAGGGTTTTTTGAAATAATTTATTAGTCCACATAGAAGCCATAGGAATCCTTATCCTTATCTTATTGTTTTAGAAGATATGAAAACATTGACTTTCCGGTAGTGCAAGTATCTGAATGTTAAGCTTAAAAATAAGCAAAAAATGTATCTCTAAATTCTCAAAATGTACTCATAGTTTGTTCTATAGATAAACTTCTTTTTGTCAATAATATTGTTGGAGATTATTATTCTCTAATTTCAAAAAAAAGATTAATAAACCTAACGATATTAAAACAAAATTAATTTTTCTACACGTTGTTGAAGATTTCCTTTAACTACTGTTGAAGTATAAGGCCTTCACAAAAGATTTCCATCTCGTCCTGTTATTTGATAATCGCTTGATTTTTTTTAAAAATTGTCAAATTGTTCTATTTCTTCTTGTATTCTTCGTTTGATAATCGCTTGATTTTTTTTAAAAATTGTCAAATTGTTCTATTTCTTCATGTATTCTTCGTTTCCACGTTGTTTTTGGACAACCTGCAGCCTTAAGGGCTCCAATCTAATGCTTGTCGACATATTTCATTACGGTTTTTGCAGTCTGAACTATGGTATTTTCACTTGCATATTTTTATCTTAATTGCAATGGAATGGAATAAAATTTTTTTGGGTCACCAAATCTTTAATATACGAGTATTATATAAAAAAACCTATTTATAAACGCATGGAATTTGTGAGTTAGAGTCTCTGTCGTTAGTCATTATCATATGTTAGTGTAACCAAAACTCAAAGGTGTCAATAGTTAATAATGCCAGCATTGAGTGGGTTTTTACGTTGCCAAGGGAAGATCTGGAGATAATATGTTTATACATGATTATATTTAGTATTATTGTATCAAATTACTGGATTTATTACTAATTATTATTAGTTTAGAATAGTTAGTTACGATGTTTATTTATTTATTGTAATTAATTATTAGTATCAGATTACTAAAATCTGAAACCTTACTGCCTCCCTCCAATTACATTTTAGAAGTTTGACAAAAACTTGATTTGGAAACAATACAGAAAAAGAAACTAATTTGTATACAAACTCTGAACCAGTTTCAATAGTACTTTTTAAAAGTACTTTAATCCAAAACAAATAGAATACTCATCTATTTGTATTTGTTGTGTGATTTGCTGCCCTTAAAAAGACTGAATCTAAGGGCGTCGCCAGGAGTCCAAACGATTTATTTAAATAAAATTTTTTTATTAGGGAAATTGTTTATAAGTAGTTGAAGTTCAAAGCTTAGAACCTAATTACATACAACTTTTGCAATAAGTAAGTTGAGTGTAAGCACCAAAAAAAAATTATAATATATTCAGTAATGTTCGTCTAAATCTTATTTCAATTCCTGCTCTAAATGATTTCTCATCATTAAACCATGCCTAGGAGCAACCTAACTGTTGACTGTCTGTCTCAATTTAACAATTATTGCAGCACTTGGAATTATCACTTAGTATAGAAGCATTATAGATAGATTTATGCTAGACCTTAGGTGTCGAACATCGAATAAAATCCTTTTACGAATCTTAAAACTAATATGTCAATCGATGTGTTTTTATTAAAATTATTTATTTATCATATTTAGAATCACGTGTTACAGTAATTCTTGAATACATATTTCTATTAATTATAATTAAATACATTTTTTATGTTTTTTAAATAAATCATATTTAGTGTGGATATATTTTTTTTAGTTCTCGACACTCGACTGTCTTAAGAGTTATTTTATGCAGTTTGGCATTTGTTTGCATTTAATTTTACTGCAAGCGGAGATTCTTTTTCAAGTGAACAATTTTATTTGCAAATGCATTTATATATCAATTTCATACTGTTCGAAACGTCTTTGAGTATGTCCTGGCTTATATCAATGGCACATTACTCAATTCACAAGTGAACATCACCGAATGCGTTGACGATAATAAGGATAATGCTCAATCGCATGCGGAGCAAGTGCGTATCATGGCTTCCATAAGGACGCAATTGAATTGCACTGTCTTGCATATTGTGTGTCATAAAACAAGATATTAACTTAACTCTAACTGAGAAGTGGAGCTCATGTTTCAATTCTTTGAATTTATTACTTATTTATTCAATATTCAATATTTATTCTAAAAGATTTTCGTTATTTTGTTTAAATTCAGCTGGGTTTTTCTGAAATCAATGTTAAAACGTGGTATATAAATTGTACCTATTTTATATATTAAATTGATTTTTAACGTGTTGCCGACACAAACTAGATTCTTCATATATAAACTATTATTTTCAATAGAAAGGCATCATCATCAGTAGTCTCTGAATTATTTCTTATATTGCAAGTACAAAGGGTTGAACTCGTACCCTGCCAAATTTGAAACTCAGAGTAAGTGTTCAATAATCAACTGAGTCAAAGACGTAATTTGCTATGAAGTTAATTATCAAATTGATTTGCTGTGTAATATGAATAAATTTAATTAATTAATTATATATATAATTATAATCATTAAATTACAATACTATTCTTTTTAATTATTTTTCTTGTATTTTACATATTTAGTTTTAATGACCAATTATGTATTGCAGCTTTTAAGGACAAATTTCATAAAACCCTAATGTCGGTATACCTTCCAACTGGAGGTTGTAAGAGAATCAAAGAGAATAGGTCCTACTTAATGTCCAGCACTATTGCATTAACAGTAGCATATGACATATTGTTGGTCGCAAGGGGCTTAAATATGGAATTCGGCATAGAGTGGTGCACCAAAAAGTCTATTCTTTTAAAAACCACTTCGATGGAACCTTTCAATAAGCATTGTATTAACGTTTATAAAATACTAAACTTTAACAAAACATGAGGTGGCATGAACACTTCATTTAGTGAAGTAATTAAGTAATAACAGTTGCAAATGAGGTAAGAATTTAGATGGATAAGTAAATATTTAAAATTAATTAATGACCAGTTATGTATTACAGCATTTAAGGGCAAAGTCCTTTTGGCACTATACACCTTAAGGCCTTATTGAAAATGATGTGAACACTTTTAGCAACGAATGTAATGTAGCGGAGCCAAATGACATGGCCTTAGTCGCTGGCGAGTTAAATGTGAAATTCACTTTACATGGTCACCATTAAAAATATGTAGTTATGGACTTGTGACTCTAACCAATGAAGAGGTGTCATTATCGATATTCTGTTCTCGTATATTATAGAATATATATTTCAATATTCTTCAATTCTTGATGTACACACAATTAGAAAAGTAAGCTGGGACCGTGTCAATGAGCTGGTAAAGATCAAAGTACATCAATAACTCAAACAATTGTTGGATGGTTGCCAAACACCGGGAGTGGAGAATGTTATCATGAAGATTGCAGAGTATTGGTTCAGCTCAAGAACATAACATGTAAGAAACTTTTACAATTTGAGGTAGTACTGAAGAAGCTACAGTACGAAAAGTATTTTCGGATGACCAGAGGGCATATGTAATGAAAACTAGACAAATGTATGAATGATAGAAGATGATAGAAAAAGAGTGCAAGGAATTCTTATAGAGAAATCAATAAATTATCACCATTTCAACCATCCATTCATGAATAAGAAAAATTCATAAGCACTTGAAGACAGTACAGACAATTATAATATTGGAGAAATCCTTTCTGTATTATTTCTTATAATGTTAGTAAATTACATTAAGAATAAATGCAATGTAAACGACCAGATTTGTGGATAGAAAACAATTGGATTATTTACTATGGTAATGCGGACAAGTACTGCTTTCGCAAGGAATAGCTTTGCTTGCTTATATATCATTGAAATGTGGCGTATTTAAGTCCTGATTATTTCTGATCGCAATTTAAATAAATTCCTTTAGTATAAAGAAAAAAGACAATTGTAGTTAGTAGAATATTTCATTAATTTTAAATGTATTAGTAACATTTTAATATTAATATGTATAGAAGAGAAAGCTCGTACTTTACTTTAAGAACTACCAAATCTTAATGCTAATCCATTAAAAGATTTCAAACTGTACCTTTAAACTTCATAAGAACATTGTTTTCTTTTCAACAGAATTTTAATGAAATTAATAATGGAAGTGCATTTGCACTAATATTTGGTGTTATTGTTTAGGTCGTTGCTGTGAGCAAATAACACCTAAATAGTTTGGGAATTTAATTTAAAATCGTATAAATAATTTAGTGTTATAAATAATATCCTTTTGTTTACGACAAATTGAAAATTCAATTTATATATCTATCTATATATATGTTATAGCTACGCGTGTGTATGTCTGGTAGATAATAGAAATTAAAACAACGACCTTTAATCTCTTAATGTGAACTAATGCGGGTATGCATGCATAAAATTTTATTAAAATCGCACAATGAACTATTCCGCCTGAAAATACCGAATTTCGTTATTCAAAATAATCCTTACACATCATGCCATTGTACGACGAGTGGCATTGCTGGGTGCTAACGCATTGATTAATTGAATTAATTTATTTAACTTAACCTTTAGTCTAGACTAAGTTCATTGTTGTGTTTGAAATATATTTTAATTTAAATATTTTAAATTAATTAATTGTAATTTTTATTTTAAAGTCAGTGTCATAAAGCCTGCCTGCCCGACTGCCTGCCTGCTAGTAGGTGGTTCTTATACTTTTTGCAAGACACACTCTTGGCACTGCACAACTCATAAATGAGTTTGAATTGAAAAATAAAAAATGCTTAGATCTATTAACTAATAGAAAAAACAGGAATTGCACAGATATATAAAAGATTTCAAAAATATATCTTAAGGATTGAGTAACAGGTTGTTGGTCGTGAACTCCCATCACGTATGCTATGTGTAAAAAGATCAGGAGTTATAAACTAAAATAGTAGTTATCAATCAAATACATTTTATTTTGTCATCTTCAAAGTAAATTTGCAAAGTGCACTCTAACAATACCAGCGGTTGCGGGATCATTTATATATTTTTCGAAAGCCGATAAAGTTATTTTCAACTCAATCCGCCTTCGCCGAACTATTAATTATATAGATTAAGGCCTCAAAAAAGTCACACATGACAAGAATAATGCCTGGTCGAATCAGATTTTTTTTAGTAGTTTGTTAAAAGTTCTTGCAAAATCATAGCTTCCGGCAATCGTAGAACACTCCAATGTATAACTGTGCAAACATTTAATTATTACTCATTAATTTATTAATTACTACGTATAATCCCTATTACGTTTTATATAGAGTATATACAGTATATATATCAGAAAACCCTGTATATATTTTCTTGGATATTGAAACTTAACACTTGTTGTTAGTGATTCGTAATTTAAACTCATTATTATCAGTAATGTAATGTAAATTTCAAGAGTCTAAGACGGTGGGTTTACTGAATGAGGGTATATTGGTCTTTTCTCTTTCCACACAAGACTCAATCTCATTATATTAATGTGTACATCATAAACATTATTGGTGGGTTGATTAGTTGCAGTGACAGGCCATCAGATAACTTTCGATGTACCTAAATTAGCGATTTTCTGTTTCTTTTCATTAGATTAGATTAGATGAGATTTCTTCTTTTTTCGGTTTGATGATTTCTGTCTCAAGTACAATGTTAACAACTCCTGCAATAAAATCTATCTTTTTCTAAAACTGCTTTCATATCATCATCCACTTATCTTTTGTTTAAGCGGAATATTTGATCAAATGGGGTAAAGTTGTTCCAAATAATGATTCAAAAAATGTGTTTTGAGAAATAGGGGTGGTCGGTCAATAGAATTATGCGTTGAGAGAATTTTCACTAGAGTAGTGTAGAATATATTATACAACATAAAATATAAACAATATATATACAATGTATACAATATATATATATATATATATATAATAGTTTATATAGATATATATAAATATATATATAATATATTATATATATATATATATATATATATATATATATATATATATATAATAGTTTATATAGTGTTGTTATGATTCTTGTTAGTTTATATTAAATGACTTGGGAATTATTTCCAAATTTTAATTACAACAAATTTTAGAATTTGTTTTAAAAGCACCGACTACAAAAACTTAAAGTTTTAAGCTCTTGATAACGCCACAAAGCAATTCCTTCAGTAGAATTTAAAAACTACATTACAAAATATACTACTGAAGTAAGCAACCGTCTAAAATATTACACAATCAAATCCTTACCCTAACAAAAAGGACTTACGAGGTAGTTCTACTTTTGTCCTGGAACTACTTTGTGTAAACGAAAAAAAAATTTACTTAAAACTATAATCTTCAGTACATTCATGTTTGCTGGTTTGCTGGTTTGTTTAAGTTGTAACACTTTGGAATCACATAGTCGGCTACGCAAATAGGCAATGCTGAAATCCTTTTCTCTTTTCGTACAACTATTGAAAGTCCTCTAGTGTGTGCAAAACTATTTGATGTTGAAATTATTATTTAGCAAAATTTTATGCAAATACAAAATCAACAAAATATTCTTAATTCAAATTTTACCATCATTTTTGATGGCATGTAGTGCAGTTCAGTTGCCATCAACCCATCAACCCATGAGCCTTCCCATACCACCAACTGCACTCCCATCAACTGCAACATCAGCACCAGTCGTCCAATATAAATACAAGTACAAAGTGTACCAATGCTCGTTTTAAGTATTCCATGCCGACACCCGAAACTATTGCTGTGTTTACATTAAAACTCGTAAATACTTTCAAACTTGAGTTGAGGGCCTGGTTTTGGAGCAATTTGTGAAGATGGAGCAGATTGAGAGGCAAAAATTAATTTCGGTGAGGATTCATTCAGCAGTGGCTGCAATAAAAGTTCGCTTATTCCATGCACTGCAATCTATTATGTATGAAGTATAATTAAATTTGAAATTAAATAGTTTTTGGTTTTTATTGTGCTATAAAAGTAATTATGTTTTTGTGCTGGTGTAGTGAATAGCCTGCGGGAGAAACATATATTTAGTTCAATGGCAACGGCAAAATACAATCCTGAACCTATTTGCTTAATGAAGGTCATTGGCTTGGATCTCTTTTTGTTGAGTTATTTGAATTCTCATTATTTTTATAGCCTGCAGGGTGCTGAAACTTTACTCACTCTAATGTATAAAAAAAAGTTAAATTTTTATATTAAGTTGTTTGCTAAAGGGTGATTGAGTTTAAATTCCATATTAAATATGTAAAATAAAAATTAAAAATATATTTCTGCTAAAGGTCATGCAGTTTAAATAATAATTCTAAAACTACTATTGTGCTAAGAATTTATTTAATTATTCACAGATGCCTGCGGCAAGGTAGATTTTAGGAATAATCACTACCACGAATAATTGCGAGGTCCAGATTTATCATTAATAAATAGCTATGGTCTTTAATGGATTAGCAACCAATCACTAAACAAAACCGTAAATACGCTACTTGCATGGAAAACACAAGAAGAGAGGAAGTTGACTGAAAACTATTCAAATAAGGACATGAAAACGTGCAAGTGGTTCTGGAATGTAACAAATAAGAAAGAAGGAAGAGTGGTTGACTAAAACCTAAATTTATGAGTTCCAATAACGACCGGGTCCACTTTCTGGAGCCACTCGTCAACATCGACGACCAAGCGTTGTTCAGCTCCCCCAAAGGGCACAGCAGGCTACTGCAACAACAACAACTAAAAACTATTGGAATACGTAAGTAAAGAAACAAACCCTTCAGAAAACAAGGTGCTTTAGCCTGTAAAAGAAAAAACTATTATTGTTATGCTTTTTACAAGGGACAATGGTACAGTATGTCGTATAAGAACAATTGTGCTAGCCCTAGAGAAAGTTCTAGGGTAATTTGGGCAGATTAAGATTGTTTTCAATTAAAACTACGTTTTTTTTTTGAATATATCTTTCATATAATTGTTATATATTGCAAATACCTACATATAGAAAAGGTATTCTTTTAATAATCCATCAAAATCTAGAAGGTAATTCCTTCATTTATAACAAGAAAAAATTTTGAAGTCGCTTTTGTTTTTTAAGAAATTTTAGCTTTAATTTCGATCGTTAGTTTTTGTATATATCTATACGTATTTCGTCAAATTCGCTTTTGTCTTCATCAGGAGAATTCATCTTTATAAGAGGAAAAAAAAAACATTTCAAAACAACACCCATCATTTATTGCTATCTATTACTGTATTCAAATACGGGCTTACAGGTATTGAAGTTAACGTATACTTTTATCTTCTATATAAGGGTAATACTCATTTATCTATATCTTCATCTTAACATTAATTTAAAGTTAGTAAAACGAACTTATGTACATAAAAAAGATACCAAAAGCATACATATATATACATATATATATATATATATATAATATATATATATAATATATATATATATATATATATATATATATATATATATTATCATAATTATATTTTAATAAGAAAACTGTTAGTAAAGTGTATATCTAATTTGTTCACAATTGATCAAAAGCAGAAGAGTTTAAGTACTGTTTAGATATATTTAAGCATAATTAAAAGAATTTCTTTATACTATATGTAACCATGTAGTAAACATAGTGTCATCACTTCACCTCGGGAAGGGACAGGACAGCAATTAGTTAAAGCTAGTCAAACTTATTTTACAAAAATATTTTGATATGGTGTTATATTCATTGATTGACATTACTTGTATAAGAAAATATCATAAACATCAAATGTTATACAACATTTATTCGTTTTTAAGAATCTGATATTAATAGTGTATTTATTTCCACTGTAACGAAACATTACTACTATTGTAGAACAATCAGCAATCAACTCTAACCGAACAGAAGACAGCCTTTCGAGTGAACGTTGGAATGTCTTTCACTGAAAATT